TTCAATTTCCTTCCTGGTGACTTTGTCTTTGCCGTCTCATCTGCCTGTGGGGGGCGAATGGCTTCCACTCAGCTGAGACAGGTTATTGCTCTGCCACACTGAGGTGAAAGACAGCTCTTGTTGAGAAATTGCTTATCCTGTAGTCTCCTGTTCTTGTTTCTCCCCATGTGTCAAGTTCTTTGCTTGGTCTTTGAAGTGCCCTAAACAACCATCTGGCTCAGTGTTCCAGATATATAGCAAGAAAATGATCCTGTGAACCACTGAGCAGAAAGAGAGAGCTCCCCAGCAAAACCCGCCATACATTTATCCGATCCAGTTGAACCGTAGATGAAATATGATTGTGGTTGTTATCCGCTTTACACAGACTTGGGGTTTTCTTTATGAATGCTGCATTTCCTCCTTGTCATACTTCACTGGGGACACTGATCTGAAGATGGCATTGTGCTTTAAAGAGGGTCTAAATTTGCAGATTTGTTGGCTGCAGTGCAATGAAAGGACCTTGTACTATCACAGCCTCTTTAACTCCAGTCTGTCACGATGGCAAAACCCAGTTTGCCAACAAGAGCATGAAGGGCAAACATGTCGCATTTGGCTCTAAGTCTTATCATTTTTCAGCACTAATTTCAGTGACACTACTTAGTTTTGTGCTGTAGCAAACTTGACATGAAATAAGAATGATGTATTTATTTATTTAAATCATTGTTTCACAGCTCATAGCTGTGCTGCTCTGTTGCCTTTACAGGGTTTACATGGTTTATTTAAAAACCGAGCAATATTAGTCACTCCTTCCCTCCTAGTTTACATTTTAGATTTACTTTTTGGTGAGTGGAAGTTTTCCAGTTTTGTCTTGACTGTGGTGATAATCCTGGATTAAGCAGAGCATGGCATGCTTATTGTGATCCTTTGTTTCATGCTGCGGCAAGGTAGAGACACACCAAAAACACACCAAAGTCTCCTTGGTGTGTTTGTCCCCAGTCCTCCCTAACCTGCTGACACTTCAGAAATGACCAATTACAAAGCGCCCCACACTGGAAACAGTGCATACAAAGCACTGAAGGCCAGGAGGCTAGAGATACGGGGCTAAGAGCAAGCAAGATGAAGAAAGTAAATCCTCATTACGTGTCTGCTAATAAAAAATTACCTCTCTCAGCTGCGCTTTTGTATTGTTGGAGAGCACTCATCCATCAAAAAAGAACCCTTGTAGCCTCAAGCAAAGAATTGCTTTTGAAATTACTTTGTCTCTCAACTGGTCCTTAGAGAGCTGGCTTATATGTACAAAACAACTGGCAAATTAAAGGAAAAACCTGAAACTTGACCTCTACCTCGAAGTGATCCAATAGCTCTTTTACCCCTTAGAGGACATTTTCTCATTGGGAGAGTTTAGCCACACTCATCCCCTTAGCAAGAAAATCAGTGAAAATCAATAAAAAGTAGTTATGGCTGATAATGCTCATGTTATGCTGAAAGATCTATAGCTATCTATAAGCCTGTATCTATAGCTGCACACACATAAAACACACACATTTACAAGCCACTTTTAAGGAAATTGGGTTTCTACAGCTCGGTACCGAAATATAATATATCTGTGTTCAGTTTCCAAGGTAAAAGCACCACAGTCTTGCCATTATCTATCGCTTTGCTTTTTACTCCCGCCAATCAAAAAGCCACAGTCGGCGTTTCCTCTGCTACCTGTGAGAAATGGTCTTTCAAAATCACAGCTTTGGCAGTGTGGACAGAGGTGAAGAATTTCTGCCTTTCGGACATTTGAACAACTGTGGCGGAGAAGCCAGTACAAGTCAAGTACATGGAGTGTTGTTACTCTCCCTCTCCTAATTGCCTGTAGTTTCTGGGGTGTGTTATCTGAAGGGAAGCAGAGATGAGATGCAGTCAGAGCTGCTGTTTGTTCCTGTTGCTGTGTGGGATGTGAATGATAGCTAGAGCCCTGAATGATATCATTAGTGAACTACTGGTTTGGCTAGCACTCTAGTCTATCAGTGCAGAGAGAGCATGAGAGATGGCGAGATATAAGACGCTGAAGAAAGGCCGTACGTGGGAGGGGTGTTGTTATCCCTTCTGTGTTTGAATGGCTATTGTTTTGTCTTATCATAAACCACCAGTGTTGACAGGGAGTAGCTTTGTACAGAAGCCATGCTGACAGCCCATACATTTGATGCATCCATGTAGGACAGAGGGCGATGCAGGCCAATCCCTGCACATAAATCCATTTGGATAGAGGGGAGAGGCTAAAGAAGAAATCATGTTACTAATGCTGTTTTATTCATCTAATTTTAAATTTAATATATTTTTTAAGCTTTAATTAATGTTTTACTTATCTGAAGAGTTTAATTTACTGCACCACATAAAATTGGAAAAAAAAAGGTTGTTTGCACTTTTCATTATCTCACCTTGTTGGTGTTATTTTTGTAGTTTGTGTGCATGTCTGTTTCTTTTTTGCTTACATTTGGCATCTTCATAAATCGTTTGTGGCGGTGGACAAGAGTACTTCTGCACACGGACAATCTTATGTCCACTTCCATGTGCCTATGAAAAGCAGTTTTTTTGTATCGTGTTTATGGTGCAAAGATTTACTGAATGATTTTAAAAACTAAGTGAAGATAAGGTTCTTGGAAAATCACCCAACGGTTAGAATCACCTTATATTTCAAGACAAACTGACAACAGTTAAAAGGATTTTTACTAAAAGCCACGAAGAGAAATTCACATGGTCACACTTGATAGATACGCTAAGAATTCCACCTGCTGTCTGCAGTTACTAAAGGGAGAGCATGGTTCCTAGCGTCAGTGTTTTTGCTTTAGTACCAGTAATAGTTAGTAACTAGTAATTACATTCCTTTATATGTCACTAGGCTTTTAAATAGAGATGTGTACATGGTTACATTGTTGCGACAATTCACTGTGACACTGCTAACGCAGCCATTGTGACTCCCTGTGTTTGCAGTGACTCATTGCTTCGTTGTAAATAGATCTAGTGTATCTCACGCTGCCATGTATGAATAATTCCCTGTCAAAAGCAGGTGATCTATGTTCTCTGAATCACCACTGAACATGGTGTCATGTGACAGTTAAGATTATCTGCTCATCCCAAACAGACACTGTCAGTCATTATTATTACCCACATGGTACATGCATGCGAGCGGCACCCATGGTTGAGGGGTCTGTGTGTTGAAATATATTTATCTCACCCAACCACAAATGCTGAAATACAACACAAAAGCTGCTGCATGAACAAAGTAAGACAGCAGCGATGGCGCAGTGTAGTAGCAGTGTGGTCAAAAAATAGCTCCGAATGTGAGAAGTGAAATGGAAAAGAAGAGGACGTTGTGGTGTTGAGTCGTGATAATTATGCAAGGATGCCAGGGACATGAAGATGAGCGTCTTCCATCTGTGCCCCCTCGGTGCCAGCCCTCCACAGACATCCACTGTCACAGAGCAGAAACCAGCAGCAGGTCTTAAACACTACACTGTTTTTTGCATGTTTTAACCCATTTGACAGGAGTCACTTAAACTTACTTGTGAAACTTGAACTTACTTGCAAATCCTGCTTTTCTCATCAGCTTTCTGGATTTCACTGTGTTATGAAAATCTCATGGCAGCAATTTAAAATGCCCTTGAATCGGGTAATTTTCCACAGTGAATATTCTATTTTGTATCCAGTTGTTTTGACATAACATTATTTATGTGTCTCTGCAAGTTCTTTTTATACTGTACAGGAATTAATGGGAACCATTAGAATTGCACTCATTCTAAAGAGCCTGTTTGTTGTTCTGCATAAAATTTCCTGCAGCAAGGCAGCATCATCATTATTGGCAGTTTCCTCATGCCTAGGAATTTTAATCTAAGCTACAACTTATTTTACACACGGCTGAAAACTTAGACTCGGGCATCTAAAATACAGTGACAACGCTCATCAAGAAAGGGCAGTTAATATAAAATGTACTGGGGACAAAAACCCAAACTGGTATGGCCCTTTAACCACAGCTCCCACTCTCCTTCTGCAGCAGACAGACTGCAAACAAGCGGATGTGAGTGGGAGATCCGTTGTCAGATCCTTTTCTGACTGACAGCTCACTCAGTGTTTGTTCCTGTGCTTATCTCACATCTGCATGCAGACATGTGGGCACATTAAGAGACATAATGTTGGCAGAAAGGCCTTTAAGTGAGGGAGATCATACCATCCTGTCAGTTTGTGTCTGCTCTCCTCAAATGTCATAAGACAAGACAGACAGTCTCTGCCAGTTCTAGGGGTGATGTTCTGTAGCTGAACCTAGAAATATTACAATATTACTCATCAAATTGATTGTATAATACCTCCAGAATTCAGAGGAAGTAAATTAACTGTGTGGAGAGCCCTGTTATTAATAAATGCTTTTCATGTAAGACAAAACATCCTATTTAGTTATCACTTGAAATGTTTCAAATCATTTTTGCATAAAAATAAGATATTTTGCCCACGGTATGGGCATCGTTTTTAGCACATATACAATTTGGACTGCCGTGTATGTGATCTGGCTTTTGGATATCTGGGGTAAGATGTTCACCAGAGCTGGCAGCCCTCTGTCCAGAGACACTTCGGGCTATATGAAGGTGCAACGTCTCAACATGTTTCAGTCAAATGGCTTCTATTTTTACTTGCACACGTGTGTAGTTTTGTGTTGATGCAGCATTAATCCCAACATACAGATTGCATCCTCCAACTCGCTCCCTTTCACTGTACTGAGCCTCTTCATATGCTTTAAAGCACTGCTTGTAATAATCGTAATATATCATAAAATATTGACCTTTTGTTTTTTACTCTGCAAAGAAAAAGTTGTCTATGTGAGCGTGGCTGATTAATAACAACCCTGTGATCAGTTATTTTTTGTCTTTCGTCCAGCTGAAACCTCACGACTTCTTACTCCTTCTACATTAAAGGGCTTGAAATGGGGTTGAACATGCATCATATGCTGTATATTCACTTTTTCTCTCTCTCTGCGCGCTCAGAGGCCACCAGAGAAGTGCCGCTACGTGGTGGGCAGCATCCTGTGTGAGGGTGAAGAGAAGCCAGATGAAGATCTGCAGAAGCTGTATGAGAAGTTTGGCTTCAAGGTGTTTTCTATGCCAGATGTGAGCCATGCTGTGACCACCAGCTTTCCTTGCACCACCCCTCTGTCCCACGTGCTCGGGCCTTACAGGGTGTACCCCAGAATTGCTTCCTATATTGAGGTACATACTCTTTTAAACTTTTTAAACAGTAGTATTGGGTCGAGCTCGCTACTATATTTAGCTACTATATTTAGCTACTATATTTAGCTACTATATTTAGCTACTATATTTAGCTAGCATTCTTAGTGAGCCTTGTTTTCTCATTGGATCTAAACAGTGTGAATATGTTTACAGGTTGTTTATATTCATTCATGTACTCTTCCACATATAGTGTACAGGGAGTGCAGAATTATTAGGCAAATGAGTATTTTGTCCACATCATCCTCTTCATGCATGTTGTCTTACTCCAAGCTGTATAGACTCGAAAGCCTAC